GCTAAGAAGAGATGGATTTGAAGAGGGTGAAGAGAGTAAATTTGGTTTCTAAAACTTCTCATAATTGAGTAGTAAACACATTCCTTTTATAAGCCTCTCATGCAGAGGGAAATAGCAGATGGAAGACATGCATTGATCAGTTCAGAGAGCGATGACATGCATACGTTGATTCAAAAGGGGACGGCAGGCATCGGTCGGTCCATGCACCGGCCAAATAAAGCTTCGTAATCTTGTCAAAAGAAAAAGCATGCATTGGCCCCAGTAGTTTACAATGGTTGACATGCATTTGCCAGCACTGACAAACGATAAGATATTTGACAGATAGGGCAGCGCCAAATGTACGTGGGATAATCGAACGTTATCTCACTTCACCGCATGTGTAATGAATGGTTCATTTTATTGCATACAAACTGAAAGCACACAAAAATTCTCCAAGTCTGCATCTCTTAAAAGTCCATGAAAATACCTCACTCTCAAAGCCTATGTTCTTGTTCCCACTAATCATTATCTCGTCTGAGCCTTATCCAATTATTTGGGATCTGCTCTTGCTCCCACTAATGTTAGACTAAATTTTTAAAAGAAACTTATCAACAGCGTTACATATTGTCCAAATAACTTAAAGAACCACCTTTTGAAAAACACATACAAAATACTAAAATAGGCAGCACCAAAAACTTAATTACTTTTAATATGGTACCCTTTTCCTTTCCTCAAATTGCTTCTTTTACTTTTTTGTATGCTCCTAATTTGCATCATTGGTAGAGGCTTGCTTGGCTAGAAGCTTTCATATTGGACTGAGAGCGAATCCCAAAAGCGAAACACTTATCCAACAGCCTGAAACATAGATCCTTCATCATTTAGATTTAGTTTCAACGCTCCTATTCTAGTATAAATACGTTAATATCTTCATAATTATTTGAAGAGTTGAAGGTTAAAATTCTAAAAAAAATTTTCTTAATAAAATTACCAAGGACCTACTCCTAAAATTTTGAAACATAATGATCAAAACTAATTATATTGGCAAAAGATAATGAAAAACGGTTTGGTGCAGCCTAATTGCTCCAAATCATTCTCTAACACTTCAATTCAACTTCTAAGAAAAGCAGATTTGGCCCAAAAACTACTCCACCTCAAACTCCTCTAAATTCTGATATTTGCCGTCCATTTCAAGAGATGGTGGAATGACCAAATTTGAGGCTTTCAAGGAGCTCTATATCGATGTTTTTTATTAAATTTGAGGCTTTCAAGAAGCTCCATATCCAAGTTCTTTATTAAGTGTTTAGGAGTGTCTTTGGTCCTCCATCCATCAAAGCATAGAGTTTCGGGTATGGCTACACTGCAAATCAACCCACACATAAAATATGTAGGGAAAATTACGTCCATACCGTTTTTTTAAATTGTTATTATGGTTTGGTCCCAAAGTATACGGAGGTCCCGCTTATTAGTTTCATATATTTTTTATGATTTTATCCTCAGTCGATGTTTGCAAGATTGAATCATTGTTTAGGCTTCTTTTAAATTGAGTGGATAGGGCTTAAAAGCCCCAATTTTTTTCCTAATTTCTATAAGTCTCTCCCCTCTCTCTCCCCATTGCCAAGCCTCTACCTAACTGTAAATCTCTCCCTCTCTCTCTCTCCCTGTCCCATTTATCTCTCGGTAGATTTCCCTCACTCTAAACATCTGACCGCGTTTTGTTATCATTTTGTACATGTAAGGCAGTTCCACTTTTGCGACAGTAGGCAATGGAGAAAATGACATCAAGGAATAGTGGCAAACTTGGTCTTAAATAAATGCCCCTGAAGCCCCAAACATGGGAGAAGGTGACCGCTCACGTATAATCAAAGGGGCAAGTGCCATTGTGAGAATTCCAGAGTTTCATTCCCATCAAGTCCTAAGCTAATATTCAAATCCCTTGCTTGCCACTAAACTTAGTTGTGGGATATGGGTGGCTCACATTTGCCTCGGGCAGAAACCTATTTCACTTGCCTCATTGATATTCTTAGCTCTATAGTATAAAAAACATGAGTAATTTTGTAAAGGGATCGTCCATAAAGAGGTTATTTTTCTTTTCAACATGGTGGTCACAATCATTTTTATACCTTAAATTTTAAAATGGGTGGTTGTAAGATGTGTCATTGAATAGACACAAACTTACAAAAGTAAAATTCTCAAACTTCATGACTCACCCCAAACCATCCAATTTGACATATAATGAGTGATAACGATTATGGCATCAATGTACAAAAGATAAATAGTATCTTTGTAGACAATCCCTTTTGTAAATGCTAATATGGGTGCACTTTTTACAACATGGGACTTTTAGCTACCCTCTTCTTTTTTAAGGGATGGTATAGAGTTCACATGATATTTGAAGGGTACACAAACACTCAAGAGGACGCACATACACCTTTCAACGATTTAGATTGCATCTGGGCCTATTTGAGGGCCACAGAGCGATTTTTTTTTTCCCATATCTTATTCGCATGAAAATTGGGGGCTCTTATGTATCCAATAAGGCCACAAGCAATAAAAAATTAACTTGAATAAAATACTAACCAAAAAACCCTTGAAAATAATTCAAATAAAAAATCGATCGAATTATCCCTGAATGTTTCAGAGGTATAAGGTCAGTTTTTTATTTGAATTATTTTTTATATTCTTATAGTATTGCCTATAAAGATGAATGGACATTCAGTTTTCATGAAAGTATTATATCAGAAATCAATTTGTTAGATCAACTTTAATTTAATCTCAACTATTGCAAAGGTGCTTGCACACCCTTCAAGCGTCTACCAAATGTGAATGAAATCCTTTGCTTTTGTGGAAAAGCTCAAAAGTAAAGCTTCAAAGCAAGAAATAAGATGTGCTGTAATACCCCAAAACACAACATGGGACCAATTTGCCTTTGGATATTATGAAAGTATTATGTCAGAAATCAATTTGTTAGATCAACTTTAATTTAATCTCAACTATTGCAAAGGTGCTTGCACACCCTTCAAGCGTCTACCAAATGTGAATGAAATCCTTTGCTTTTGTGGAAAAGCTCAAAAGTAAAGCTTCAAAGCAAGAAATAAGATGTGCTGTAATACCCCAAAACACAACATGGGACCAATTTGCCTTTGGATATTGTGAGCATTGAAGTGTCAAAAACTTCAATGGGTTTGTAAATGGTCCCACAAGTCTTATGTGTGGGCCGCTTGGCTTTACTTTATGCCCTTCTTTTAGGTCCTCAAAGTAACTGCAAATCTTATGTGTGGGCCCGCTTGGCCTTACTTTATTCCCTTCTTTTAGTTCCTCAAAGTAACTGATATGTTGCAGTCCTATCAACAAAATGGAACCAATATTTCACCAGCCTTTGGATATTATTAGCTTTGAAGTGTAAGAATAATGTCGTAAATGGCACATGCATCTTATGCTAGGACTTGTTTTGTCCCTCTGGCTTTATTTTATTCTCCCCTTTTCTCAGGAAGTAGTAATAGACACGGCCTCGTGTTGTGCCAAATATTCATAGCCCTTTTGAGAAGTAGGAACTACCCAAAGTTCAACCGTTTTATAGGAAATTTATAAAAATACATATGAGAACTGTATTGTTTTAACATTTTACCAAATGTATTTTGATTTAATTTCAAAAGTTCAATCAACGATCGTGAATTGAAATAGTAGAAAGTAGCTAAAACGCTAAAAAGTTTATAAATTAATGTATTTTGATGTGTTTCCCTTGATTTATTTATAAGGAGTTGTTCCGCTTTTCACAAAGGAAAATTTTTTTATGCATCACACTGGAAATTTATAAATTTCTATAATATTGATAAAATCTATAGTTTTATCAGCACAAATCTTTTTTGCCTTTTTTTTTTTGTTTGGAAATGGTCATCCTGGGTCAAAAACTGTATGCAAAAATTATAGTGCTAATTCACTTAAAATAGTTGTTGGGGGTGTTGTCAACGCTATAGCAATTGACCTCAAGAGGACTTTCCATTTGTATTAATGTGTATTTCACCTTTGGACAGTCTTTTAGCAGACAATTATGGTAACAGTCTAGTTATAAAGGCCATCGAGCCATCAACATCCAGCCAATGGGTTGGATGGCGGAGGGCAATTCGCACACACTTTTTGGTGGGTTCAGCCCAATCAATATGCAACCACTAATTGGATCGTGACGGTCCTCGTGACCATATAATTACCATGATCATATGAGATTGTCTACTACAATATGTATGTATGCCACACGAAACGTGAACTATTCGTTCATTGATGACGATAGATGGTTGGGATGGGGCCATTCTTAGAGCTAGCTAGCAACAAGTCAAGCCAGCCCTGGTCCTCACAGGGCCAGCCCAAGCCCAACCTGACCCGACAGAGACCAGGCTGAAGAGGCCCTAGCCCCGTCCAGGCTGGCAAAGGCCTAATACACTCACAGAAAAATAAAAATAAACAAAAATAAAGAAACAAAGGGTCTAGCCTGATAGGCCCAGCCATGGCCCACACCTAGGCCAAGCCCTTGGAACACACTTTGAGACCCAGACCCATTGCCGGCCCTAACCACTCCTTTGTGTAAGTGACTTGAAAAACATATCAACTCACCTAAATAAGAACTCACCCAAATAAGAACTCACCTAAATTAGAGCAGATTTCGTGTCACGGTTGCATCATAATATAATGCAACAACCTTCAAAAACCATGTTATGGCCTTTTGTTTGATCCAAATTTTGAAATATACACTCTTTTCATTCTAATGAATAATCACAAAAAAAAAATAATTTGAAAACGTAACCTAAAAAGTATTTTTTTAGCCCAATTAACATAAGCCGTTTATTTTGGTAAGATGCTTAGATCTAGACCTTAGAAGGATTTTTTCATTTCCAATCTTTTTGGATGATTTTATTATCATGAGATGAATAATGATAAAAAAAGAAAAAAATGATTTTGAGTTCATAAAAACTAAGATCTTGAAATTCATCAAATGAATGGTCTAGATTCGTTTTTGGAAAGGACTCATTTTGACCATATCTAGGGTTCAAATTGAAACATTTTTTTTGAGGGATTGATAATTGAGATGAAGAAAGAGTGTGTGCCAAATTTGGATCATACAAGTAACGTAAACATGGTTTTCTATAAGTGTCATTGCATTATAATATGATGCAACCGTTGTATGAAATCATTGCTCCCTAAATAAATGTTTGAGGTTACATATAGCATACAGTTTGTCAGGTGTATGCTGCAGTCTTAATTATCCAAAAATAGCTGCAAACCCTTCCTGTGAAATGCATTAACCAAGGCATAGCAGAAACACTTGGCAGCAAACTTAGCTGACATGGAGAGCCACCAGGGAAGCATAAGCCCCATCCTTCACCCCCATCAGCTCCTCATGCCTCCCCTTCTCTGCAACCACACCATTCTTCACCACAACAATCAAATCTGCACCCTTAATTGTAGACAACCTGTGCGCCACCACAATGGTGGTGCGCCCGACCATCACCCGATCAAGAGCCTCTTGAACCACGCTCTCGGCCTCCACATCAAGAGCACTCGTGGCCTCATCTAAAAGCAAGATCTTCGGGTCCCGTAGAATTGCACGAGCAATGGCTACCCTTTGCTTTTGCCCACCTGAAAGTTGAGCATCTCTGTCACCCACACGAGTATCATAACCTTGAGGAAGGCTTGATATGAAGGTGTGCCCATTGGCATCTTCTGAAGCCTTGATTAGTTGGGCTTCTGAGGCCTCCACGTCCTTACCATAAGCAATGTTGGCTCGGATCGTATTATTGAAGAGGACAGGCTCTTGGCTTACAAGGCCTATTTGTTGTCTAAGCCACTTGAGGTTAAGCTGCCGGATCTCGACACCATCAAGGAGGATGCGGCCCGAATCAGGGTCATAAAACCTTTCAAGTAGCGCGATCATGGTTGATTTCCCACTTCCACTTTCCCCAACAACGGCAACTGTCTGTACATGGAGAGATGGTGGCGGACACAACAGTAAGCAGTTAAGAGTCTGGTGAATTGATGAAGAAACGGCATCTCTCTCTCTCTCTCTCTCAAACATACACACCAAACGAACAAGTTCTTCCTAAGGAAATAAATTTGTCTATTTCCACTATTTCTGTTCATAGTCCACAACTTCACGAGCACAAAATAACTGATCATATATTAAAAGGGAAAGCTTTCTATGTCCCCCTACAACATAGAAGTTCCATATTTCCCCTACCATCCAGCCGTCCATTTTTTATCAAGAGAGCCGCTCACCGTTTGATCTTAGATCCAACATCTCAAAGTATTTTCTTTTTAGTTTTTTTAATACAATTTTTTTGAATATGAAATTTGGTGTGTGCCATCTTCTCATTGGGACGCACCTATAAAAAATATTAACAATAATTTTTCGATAAAAAATAATGACCAAAATACACCTTGAAACCTTCAGGGGTATTTTGGTCATTTTATTTTATTGAAAATATTTTTTTTATATTTTTCGTTGGTGCAAGTTTAATATAGGAATGGACGTCCAAAATTTGGTGTGTCAACAGTTTATAGAAAAAAAATTAAAAATAAAACAGTGTAGAGATGGGACATTGTGATTGGGGCAATCTTAGCCCTCCATTCAAAAATGAAGGGTTAGAAAAAGGGGAACATAAAACTTGTTGTAGGGAGAACATAGAAAGCTTTCCCATATTAAAGTACAACATGAAGTAAATGTAATTTGAAGCAAATACAAAAAGTTGTTACAACAAAAAACTTCAACGTTTAAAGGTCGTATGCAGTAAAAATATCTACATAACCCTCTTATATTGGAAAAACAAAGTTAAAGAATTTTGAATTATGAGAACGCCAATTAGGTTTAGATCATCACAAATAATATGACCAATAACAACAATTGAGCAGGATGTAAGTTGCAAATTCTTACCTTGCCAGATTCTATAGTCAGGCAAAGTTCTTGGAAGATTTGGACACTGGGCCGTGATGGGTACTTGAAGCTAACATGATCAAACTCGATATCTCCCTTCACAACAGGCAGTGTTGTGCCTGAATCATCAGCAGAATCTATCTTTGATTTCCTATCGAGAATGGCAAATATGGAAGCGGCAGAGACCTTAGCCTTTGTAGCATCTGGCGCCAAGGAGCTCGAATTAGACACCCCAATGGCTGTCATGGTCAGTGCAAAGAACACCTGTAACACATGAATAATGAACCATCTCGATTAAATAAAACATATAAGAAAACAAAGTCAATTGCTATCCCAATATACTTTCCACAACTTGCCCCTCATGTTAACCAAATGTCAACCACATGTACGCAAAATCAACAAAATAATTGCATTTTGAATTGCTACATGCATGTGACGTGTGCAGGATCATGACACACAACATTTTGCACAAGCATCGTGCAAATTAAGTAGCTGGTGCCCCGCCCCCTTCCTCTTTTCCATCTCGCAAATATGGAAATGAAATAATCTGGGTAAAACTTAAATCAGAGGAAGAGTCAAATTTGGTACACACCTTAAAAACGTTTGCAAATGTTGTCTTTGAATCCTTAACAAGCCGAGCTCCAACATAGAAACTAATAGCATATGTGCAATACAGTAGTAGGAATGACATTCCAAAACCAATCCCACTTATCAGTCCTTGCTTAATGCCAGCCTTCACAGGACCTTCACATTTCTTGGTGAATAGATCCATTACCTTCTCTTCAGCACAGAAAGAAGCAACTGTTCTTATGCTACCAACAGCATCACTCGCCACCCGACTCGCTTCCTCATATTTTGCCTGAACCCACAGAACCAGATTTAATATTTAAAAGGAATACATGGCCAATTGTAACTATTGCATATTTGCATCGCATTTCTCCATCAAGGATGTACACAGCTACTTTGACATGTGCTATTTTGAAAATTACCTTTACCTTGTCAAGTTGAAATTTTCTTCAAAGAAGATGGCCTTTCGTGTCATACAGAAAAAGATTAAGTTGATTTTTCATTTCAAAAGTAACCGTGCAAGACAAAAATTGGGTATAATAGGCACAATTCGTTAAGAGAAAATAAAGGATGAAAAATTACTATGTTTAGAAAGTCCGATGACTTTCTTTGAGAGACGTAATACAGTTGATTTTGGATAAGTGGGTCTCTTGGAACAACGTAGGCTTATTGCAATCCGAAATAGTTCCCAAAAATATGATTTAAGTTCTAACATCCTATCTTCCTGCAGAAGTGAGGACTGTGATATAAACTTTTCTTAAATTATCAAAATATCCATTCCATGTTTACAAATACCAATAATCTTGAAATCACGAGAAACAAAAGAACACAAGCTATCATTGTTCAAAACCCCCCAGGTTATCCTCTACCTCCAAAAAAATTTGCCCCAGGAACCTATTTGGCTTCCTGGAAAAAGATATCTTGAAAATTCCAAGGAGAGAGAGTTAACATGTCGCAAAAGAACTTCCAAGATGAGAGATGATTGAGAGTTCAGGGGAATTGAGGGGGGGTGGGGGGAGGCAGAGGGTTTGTTGGGAAAAGAGATGATATGGGGTGAAGCAGATTTCTTTACAGAGTATAAAATTTTCACCTGTTTAGTTAAAAGATCTTTTTTTCCCAACAATGAGGTAAAAACAGAGATGATAGGAAGATTTCTCCCCCAATTTGGGCATCAATTGTTGAAAAGTTTCCTCATTTCAGGGAAGATTATCCTGGAAATTAATTAACAAGGACCCAAACAGCCATAAATATTAGGCCAAAGCAAAGTTTTTTCATTTGGAAAACATGTGAAAATTTACATAAATACACATCGTAGCCATGCCTATATCCAAATTGTCATTACATTGTTAAATCACATTTCCAAAAATACACATGAAACATGGGCTCTTAGACACAAAAGCACAAAAGAAGACACAATTATCATCTCCTAGATGGTTTTCATATGCAAGAGGGTGAGAGAAAGAGAAAACCTTGGCATTAGCACTGAAGCCCTTCATGAACCTCATCTGAGTCCACCCCTGGAGACCCACGAGGGGTAGCAAAGCAAGGATGAGAAGAGCCAGCTGCCAATTGGCCACAAAGGCTATTACTATCCCAGCAACTGCAGTTGCCGAATTCTGTACAATCAGTGCAAGGGTGTCACCCACCAAAGCCCGCACACCTGCTGCATCTGCCGCAAGCCTTGACCCAACTTCTGCACTCGTATTCCCAACCTCATCGAACCACCCCATCTCTTGCCTCAACACTGCCTCGAAAGCCATAGCTCTAACTCGCCTTATAAGCTTCCCTCCAGCCACTGCAAATAAACCCCTATTCATTGGACCCACCAAGAAAGCCACAACACCAAGCCCTACAAACATCAGAGACCAAAAGGAGGCCTCATCCTTGAGCTTGCGTGGGGGCTCGAAGAATGCTTGGATTATGCTCCCAATGAGAAGCCCAAACACTGGGAGTATGACTCCATGGATGCTCGCTGCCAAAGCACCAAAAAACAAAACTAGGATCTCGGGCTTGTTGAGTCGAGCAAGTCGGGCCAGCGAGACATCAGTTGGGTGGTCACCGGATTCCGGCAAGATGACGCCAGATTCGGGAAAAGTAGTTTCTTGAATATTGGGGACCGGTAGAGATCGGGGGCTGCTAGATGATTGCCTGAAAGAGAACCTTGCGCTCACTGATAGCCTAAAAGATAGCCTCTGGCTCAACGACTTATTGAAAGATAGCCTTCGGCTCGATGATTGAGAGGCTTCAGATACTACGTCCGGCTTTTCATGAGCTTCTTCTGTGTGGTGATGTTCTTCTTGTTCGCCTTTATTAACTTCTTGCAAACGTAGGAGTTGGCTGTAGGCACCCTCTTGATTCTTGAGCAAGTCCGAATGAGAACCTGATAACTCAGCAACATGACAAGGATCAGATATCTTTGCATGGATCACTAAAAAATAATGGAAAAAACCAGGAAGATTTCTGGAACACCTGCATAGAACATGCATTTGAAGAGTTATCTTACCGCTGGTCTAGTGTTCAATACACATTAAAGGAAAGGGCAGAAAAAATATTATTCAAATTTGTCTAGTACTCGAAGTACTGATCGAAGGTAGAAATTTTCATGCCAAGAGAATAACAAGATTGGAGGGTACAGTTACTGTCCGCATATTTCAAGTTTTTGCACCACCTACATCATATATGCAGGTTTTCCAGGTACCAGCTGATTTTTCCCCAAAAGTTTCGATGTTCCAAAATTGTTCATGCATTTGGTTTGGTTGGCTATCAATTTGGTTCAAACCTCCATCCAACTACTTTATGTTTTTTGTTAATTTATTATCAATGTAAAACAGGTATGGGACCCTTTTTCCATTGATTTACCTCGAAAAAAGATATGCATATATAATACACTTCTATAGTGTGTTGCACAGCATAGCGCATAACAGGTTTTCACCAGCCTTCAGAAAATTTTCCAGTTTCATTCCAAGGGGACCGTAATGGGAAGGGAAAGTAAGTCAAAACTACACTTTAAAGAGATGATTTGGCTGATCTAAATGCCTCTTTTCTTTCTATGTCCAAGTTAAATTCCACCACTAATGTACCCAAAAAAAAAAAAATCAAGTAAATAACTAACTTTTGTTTGTTGGTTCTCCGGAAAAATTTAGACATCCTAAGATAGATAACAGTAACGAATGAAAATATAAGCCTACACTCAAAAACTTATATGAAAAGGAAATCAACAAAATGAAACTGAGGCTTACCTTTTTCGACAATTGAACCTCGAACAAGTACACCAATTGTATAATATATGAAAAGGAAATCAACAAAATGAAACAGAGGCTTACCTTTTTCGACAATTGAACCTCGAACAAGTACACCAATTGTATCAGCATTTCTCACTGTAGCAAGCCGATGAGCAATGACCACTGTGGTGCGATCGACCATGATCTGATCAAGTGCCTCCTGAACTACACGCTCTGACCCTGCATCAAGGGCACTTGTGGCTTCATCAAGAAGCAAAATGCTTGGATTTTTCAGAATTGCCCTTGCAATGGCAACTCTTTGCTTTTGACCTCCTGATAACTGCGTCCCACGCTCCCCCACCATGGTGTCAATTCCCTACAAATGAACCATACAATTTTTACATCAGCAGCAGGAAATTCTATTCTCTGTTAAATGGGGATCATGAAAGCATTGTATATTTGTATGATCCATGCCTGCATATGGGATGGGCACAAAAAAATATGAGCAAACCACATGAGGGAATAATAATATGTTAGGTATATTGGTAGCATCTTTCTACCCCATCGCGAAATATTCTCATAAACTTTCTAACTTTCAAAGAGCTTCATCTTCATTGATAATTTTTATTTATAAACAGTATTATTCCAATAAGATGTCCTACGTAGTATTTTCTTATAGAAGTGCAACTAGAAGAGGCTGTCATGCAGATCAGCAATTTAACCCTTCACTTTCGTGCATCACAGACTTAGCACTCTGGCCTTTGCCGCTCTTCCCAGAAATCGGTACTAAACTTCTAATTGCGTAACATGCTCTTTCGTGTGTTACCGAGTTTGCCTTACAAGTTCCGAGTTGAAATAATAAATAATGCTGGGTTCTGCCTTCTCAATAAATCTCTCCACATACTGATACTGGAATTAATGTATTCCAAAAGTCGGAACCTTCCTGCACACAGTCTCCAACCATTTTCCTTTGGTGTTTGTGAGTGTTTGTGTAAATAGGCGAGATTGGAGAGAGGGAAAAACACGCACACATACACACACAGGCACATGCACACAGTTACAGCATGTCTCAGAATTGATTTGCTAGTGTATGCGGAATTTGTTTGAGTTCAAGAAACCAATAGAGTATTGCAAGAATTATACCTGAGGCATATTTTCAATGAATTTTGAAGCATTTGCAAGCTTGATTGCAGCCATTATTTCTTCTGTAGTCGCATCATTCTTCCCATAGGCAATATTTTCTCTTATGCTAGAAGCGAAGAGTACTGGTTCCTGGCTTACCAGCCCAATCTTATCTCTAATCCATCTCAATTGTAGATGCTTCAGGTTGACACCATCAATAAGCAGCTCACCAGCATCTGGATCATAAAATCGCTCAATCAAGCTTACTACCGTTGATTTCCCACTACCACTCTCTCCAACTAATGCCATTGTACTTCCACTCGGTACCCAAAGTGAAAATCCAGAAAAAATAGGTGCATCAGGTCTCGCAGGGTAGCAAAAATGCACGTCCTTAAACTCTATACCCCCCTTGATACTATCTAGTTTCATGCCACTTGCATCATATGCATCAATTACTGGCTTTCTTTTGATAGTCTCGAGCATTTTGTGTGCTGCTGCTTGACCAGCCACAAATGCACTCATGCATGGGGATGCCTGGCCTATCGACCTACACACAGTATAGCATGTCAATTGGTCAAATAAGGTGACCACAGATCTCTCTCGTACACACATACACAAAGTCCAATAAAATTTTGGAGAATCGACAACAACAAACTGAAATACTCATAATTAATGAACTTTCAAACTTTGGTTTTCATTGTTATGGGATCAAACTCACAATCCACCAGCCAAGATTGCCATTATAACATTGATGACTTGACCACCAGTGTAGCCTTTTTCCAGTATCAATTTGGAGCCATACCATAGCGCTAATGCATAAGTGCAAAATATGAAAAACAAAACGGCACCGAACCCTACTCCCGCCACAAAACCTTCTTGAACAACAGCGATGTAAGCCTCCCTTAGCAAGATGTTATACTTTTCTACAGCCTGCTTCTCCCCTGTAAAGGATGCTACCTGGACAAAAATAATAATTCAATCCCAAGAAAGTAGAAATAAAACTAAAAGGATAAAAGAAACAGGCAAATACTAATCCCAATGCTTCAACAGGGTAAAAAGCACAACTACAAGGAAATCAAAAAATTTGTATTAGTAGTTCGGTGCTCAATGGCTTTTCCATTTTTTAATCAATAAGTAAACAATAAGCTATATTTTATTTATTAGTTTAATTGTTATATAAACTTTTTATTCACTTTGGTGGGCTAAAGGGACCAAAGCCAACCAAGAGATTAAACAAAAAGTTGATTCCTCCAACGATAGATCCAACACTAAAGACTATGAGACCAGCTGCAAATCCATAAACTTTCTTTGGACAAGCAATCGATATTATTTCCACAACACCAGCAGGATTGCAAGGAATGCATGATGTTCTTACTTAGAAACCACTGTGCAGAAATGATTTAGCCACAAAGAACAAACAATTGGTGATACATAATAAAGGATAAGGTACAACACACTCATAAATGCAACACAAGAAAGTGAATTTAGACTATCATTTTAGAATTTTTTGAAATAATGGCAACTACTATCATTTTAGAAAAAAAATCTGTTTGATAGAGAATCCCAATGATCTATTTACTTTATATCACTCCTCAAATTTTTTAAAGAAACAAAGCATAATTCAGAAACTGTAGATTCATTCATGTTGGTGATTACGTATTGACTAAATGATTTCAAGTCATTCTCGATAATGAGGTACATTAAAAGTCAATGATATATAAATAGTTTTAGAGATTCAATAATATTATTGCCTATTTTGGTGCAAATCACATAGAAAAGAGAGTATCAAAATACAAGAGGGAAATAGGGTGTTCTCGTCATTTCTGGATATTTATGTTCTGATAGATCATGTAGAAGAACACAAAACAGCATCGCTATTTATACCACCTAGAGGATGGAGAGATGAGAATTGTGAGGAAATTTATCAATATACACAGGCCTTGGGTACTACTGTCAGATAAGTTGTTTCAACATGAAAAGGAATGGCAGCTTAGTTTCCCAATAAGGAAATCTTGATCATTGAGTTGAATGGTAATAATTTCTGTACCATAAAAAACGAAAGGGAAGATGCACTACTGTTTCAATCTAAATTCTCTTATCATGCACAAATACCTACAGTTTTGATTGAACTAATGGTTTGATCTACTACAATCCCAGCCTCAGTGTAAGCCGCTTGTCCACGTGATGACATTTTCGAAATGGTCACTCCCAAAAATGCACCACAAACAGCTAAAAGAGGAATAGAAGATAACATCACAACGGCAAGGAGCCATCCTTGAAAAAATGCTACTACAAATCCACCGATGAATGTGGAAAGCAGTTGAATGAACTTGGCCACCTGAAAAAAGATAACAGAGCAGAGTATATTAGTGTCTTGAACTCATTTATTTACAGGGATAGTGCAGACTGTAGATTTAAGGTTGTTGTTTCTAGACATTATAGACCACCCATTGAAACTTTGATATGCTTTATGACAGGGTAGGTCAACTGGAGATCACCAATCAAAATATAATAGTGACATCATTTAGCATGCAAAATGATGTCTTGTTGTATACTTTCCCATTCATACATTGCAAAATTATTTGAAATGTGGAAGACTACCTACTTTATATGGGTCGATATTGATTGCTAATCAAAATAGAACAAAAATAGATACTTGAACTGAGCTTGCCAAGGATTTGAACTCAAGGAAACAGCAAAACTGGGAGGATACCTTCTCACCCATGGCATCTTGGATGAGAGATGTGTCACTTGACATTCTGGAAATCACTTCTCCAGTGGAAGTCTCCATATCAAAGAACGCCATATCCTGCCTCAATATGGCTTTCAAGTATAGGCTCCTTATTCTTGCAGCCTGCCTTTCTCCAGTGATCATCCAGCAAGAAACCTCTGCAACGAAAAAAGAGAGACAGAGTGAGAGAGAGATGAGATAAACCATCACTTTCCATCACTGTAAGAGAAAAATCAAAGATACATTGAGAGAGAGAGAGAGCATGACAGTGAGACCTCAAGGAATGTGAACTTACGGAAAAATGAAGCAACGCTGGTTCCCATAGCCAAATAAACGAATTGCAGAGCCACCTGAACGGCATATCAACCTTCAAAACTAAACACAAATTTCATCCTAAGACTGAAAAAAGGATTTAAATGCCCTCTCTCTCTCTCTCTCTCTTGTGCAAGTTCTGAGAATGAACAAAGCGAGAGACTAGTAAAATCACATAAACGAAAAACTGCAAATGCTATCTTCTTCGTTTAAAACCTCAAACCCCTCCACACTATTTACAAAAGAGGTGGGAATCCTCTATAGTTTCCAGCCCTCTTGTGCAAATAGAGAAAGAGAAAGAGAGAGTCCACTTGCCCTGTGCGCCATGTTGCAGACGGCAATGGGTAAAAGAGCGGGTTTTAGAGAGAGGAGGCGGGAATGGAATCAAGGAGAAATAAAGAACAATTTACTCTCCACTTCCCGAGTTTAAACCGGATTGGTTGTGTGAAGCGGCCGTACTGGAAATCGCCCGTATAGTTGGATCGGCGATGAGATAGACTCTTTTGGGTAAAACGAGTAGTTTAAAAAGCTGATCGGTCACTTGGATGGGGACATCTCAAAAATCTATTTGGATCGGTGAATCAGCAATTTGGATCAGAAATTAACTAAATCAGTCGGATTAAGTTTTAAAAAAAATTTCAAAATAAGTATTAAAATTCGTTATAAATATTATCTTTTAGGAATCCGATAAGAAATGAGGGTACTATATTATTAACTTTCATTTTTTTCATCAATTTATGAATATTGAGATGTTCTTTTCCTGTATAAACTTATGTTAACCATTAAATTTACATCGCATAAAAAAAAATCATATAATTATCATGGATAAAATATATAATTATACATAGACTATTATAAATAGTAGACTAAATCAATGAAAGAATGGCCATTAAAATATCATTTTGGCAAAAAACCCTAATCCGCTAAAAAAATCCAAATTATTACAGCATAACTAACTATAATCCAAAATTATTACGACCTAACTAATTATAATATTATATACTGAAATTATAATTATTAGTTTACATTTTCGAATTATTTTGTCAGACAAATAATAATAAAATATGTTATTTTATCTAATTTAAAATGTATTATTGATAACTGTAAGAAAAATAGTACATTACATGATTTATAATGTAAAAATTAATAAATAAAATAAAAGATTTGGTTATCAATGTAAAAATTAATAAAATGCGTACATTACATGATTTTATTTTTTATTTTTTTATGCCTTTCATATTATTTACAAAAATAATTATACCACTATATACAACAAAAATTAACTGCTATATACAAAATTAACTTTTTTATTTTTTCATTTTTTTATTTTTTTTATATTATTTACAAAAATATTTATACCACTATATACAACAAAAATTACTATAGAAAAAAAATGTAACGCCCAAGGGGATTCAACTTTGGGACATCAAAGGAAATAGCAGAGGTCATAACCATCACGCCGCCTCGCCGCATGTGATCATAAAGTTGATGATTAACAGAATATATTTAAATTCCGTTTTCATTTAATGATGTTTGAGAATTATCTCATATCGAATGATAGGTATTCAACTTTACTATATAAATACCTATGTAATATGAAATAAGGCATACGCGTGGAAACATTGGGGCAACCTTATACATGATATGTAGCACGTGATTTTGTTGCGCGTGTCCATGTCGGTGTGGTGACATTTTACTATTCAAAACCGCCCAATTCTCTCTAAACACGGGCGGTTCCCGTTTTATATGTGGAACCGGCTCGTTCTGTGGCGATTATCGAGTCAAGCAGGGTGAGTCCGACTCGACTCTGCGTTTTTTTAAACCCTCGCTAAAATAAAAAATTATAAGTAAAATATGTGGCAACTGTGGGTAAAATAAAAGATTAAAAAATTAAAAAAAATGAAAAATTATAAGTAAAATATGTGGCAACTAGGCAATCGGGCGGGTCTACATTGCCTCATTTTCTGACAAACACCTGGCGAATTAGATCGAGTATTATTGATCGGGATTAGAAATTCACTAGGATCGAACTGTTTTCAAAAAAGTATTTGTGCGGTCCTTCCTGGTTACCCCTATAACCTCTTTTTCTTTTCCTCTTTTTTCTTCTTTTTTTTTTTTTTTAAAAAAAAAACTTATGGTAATTTTTTATATCTTTTTAAATCCCCACCCTATAAATTCATGTTTTAGCTTTCATTTTATTTTATTTTTTATTTTTTATTTATTTAGATCACCAATTCGAATTAATCTAGATCATCAATCCAACAATTCGACTGCGATACATAGGGAGGAAAATCCACACCAGTTCATTGATTTTTACAACCCTTCTTTCTTCCCAACTTTACCCGAGTGGGAAACAAGTTGCATGAAAGGCGGCTCCTATGTCCATCGACCTTAGCCGAAGTCTGGGTTCAATTTGGAGGGTTGGGTCAAGTTGGTGTCAACTAGACTTTATATGGGTATATGTGCGTGTGCGCATTGTCACCTAAAATAGATAGTAATTTAAGTTATACGCAAAGCATTTTGATCAACTGATTGACAATGCATAGTATTATCTGAAATTTAATATTTTTCCTATGAATAATATTAAGTTGGCATTTTAGGAGTATCTACTTCAAACCATCATGCCATAAAATCTATTGATTATGTGAATCATGGTCTATTAATAGGGGTCAATTACATGAATCATGGTCCACCATTATGCTGTATTAAGGTTAATACCTTAAATGAAGTTATAAGTCCTTATATATTTTCTCACTACTTCCAACCATATCTTTTTGGACCTACCTCTTGTATTTTTTTAGTATTCTCCTTGAACTAACACGTACCTCTTAAGATGCTTTATACTAGGTATGCGTCACATATAGCCGCCCACCTAAGTCTACGATCTTTCATCTTATTGCCTATTTGTATCACTCCTAAATTTTTTCAATTGGATTCATTCTATCTTTTTTGTCTTACCACTCATCCATCTCAACATCATCATCTTCGCTACATTCATTTTATAAGAATGTTATTATTTGACCGCCTAACATTCCATCCCATAAAGCAAAATTGATCTTACAGCTGTCGTATAAAACATATATTTTCTCTCTATAGTAATATGGATCATAATGTAATGATAAATTCTCATAACAAATGAATTTAGATCTTCTATTATCTTACCACTTGTTTGCCTGTAAATCATTATTTGACTTCTATCATTTGGATAAAAATGAATATTCTCAACCTTTATTTTTCTCACTCATTTTTTGAAATGCCGAAAATGATTTGTATAGCCGACTCCAAATAGTTGGGATAAAGCTCTGATGATGATAATTTTACTCATACAACAACGGCCTTTATCCAAATAAAAATATCAAAAAAACAATATAAGAAAGCATTTAGACTGTAAATTTCAAATGGATCACTATCTAAGGGACATAAAAATGTCAAAAAGCAACATACAAAGAAGTCACTAACAACTATGAGTCCATATATAAATGAGTCACCTCTTGAAACTCTATTTTCGACCTGGATTTTTTACTTAATTTTTAAGGACACATAATCTTTAACATGGAGATGATGAATATGAAAAAATAAATAAATTTAAAAAAATTTAAAATAATAATTATAATAAGAAAACATTTGGACTATTATTTTCAATTGTTTTTAGATGGACCACCTATTTGCATCCATCTTTAAAATAGATGATTTATACGTCGGGGACCACGAATGTAGAAATGCGTCCTCGCCGTATGAAACAATTTTCCATATCTGAAATGCTGCCGTAATTAGATTATGCTCCGGGGGCACATCCAGAGTCCGAACTATAAATCATTCATTAGACATATAGATCTTAAATTCTTAGAAAACTTGTATTAAGGCTCACTTTGAGAGCATATTACTCACCATGCTCCATGGTCAAAGATAAGCATCTAAAACCATTGGATTCTACTTTGCCGGCACATTTGACCATTCCCACTTCTTTGCATCTCTACCTCAATCGTTCTTAGATAGCAGGTAAGTGGGCGGGCCTGGGCTGGACCGGTGGGTCCTATCGGGTGCCTGGGCCACGCCCATAAAAAGACATGTCCAGCCTTTGAATAATGACATCCAAATCAGGTTCTATGATGGGGCCCAAACCCGGTCTTTTCGGGCTGTGCGTTTAAGCCCCGTAGACCTAGCCCCACCCATTTGCACCCCTTTTGGACAGTATATATTTCGGAGGGAGCAAAATTTTCACTGTTCTCTGTACCCAACAAGAGATGATCTTGCTATTTGCCCATAGAGAAAGGAAATTAATTTATTGTTACCTAATAATATGATTTGAGTTTTAACATTAAAGGTAAGGGTGCTAACCTTTGACACCACATGGACCACCTTAGTGATATCCTGAGTCTGCCCAAATGAGTTCACCATTTTACCAAACAGTATAGTCATGACTGGCATGGATAGTCCACTCCCAATTGCTGCAATTGATCCCACCACCATCAAAACTGCATCTTTGCTATCAGCAAAGGAGAATAGTTTGTAGTAAGGCACGCTTTTGTATATAACTCCTCTTTCCTCTTCTCTCTTCTCAGGATCTCCGACATGTTTTATCGCCACTCCGGAGTCTGTTACAGCTTCTGTCACTGGTGCACTGCTCGGAGGAGCGACGAGCTCCGATCCATTTTGTTCAGCCATTCTCTCTCTCTCTCTCTCTCTCTCTCTCTCTCTCTCTCTCTCTCTTATGGTGTATATCTATATCTTCAATTCCTCTCTTCTAGACCAGATTTTAGCCTCCCCACCTCTCTCTCATTTGAGGTTTATCTGTATTTGCAGTTCCTCTCTTGTAGGCCAGCTTTTTGCCCTTGTCTCTCTAACTATCTTTCTCTCTCTCTCTCATGGGGTTAACCTATTTTTGCAGTTCCTCTCTCCTAGACTAGCTTTCTCCCTCCCCCTCTTGACTGCAGCAGGTCAACAATTTCTCTCCACTTCCTAAGGTTCTGAACCAGCTTTGCATTGGTTAGAAGCTTCACTCTTGCAACCCAAGCGTGGACGATTCAATAAATAACTTAATAAAAAACACTACCTGTCATGTACTTTCCCTATGTCCTATTCCACAAAACAAGCTCAATTGAGTAATTTATATCATTTTCCAATATTCAAATTCCTACAATGAGTACACAGTATCACCAATCAAATAAATAAAATGATTGTAGAATTCAGTTGGTATATTTTAGAACTGAGATTTGTATATTTTACTTCTTTATCATTAGAGATTTATACTGTTGTGAAAGCATAATGTCCATTTACTTCTTCAGGTAAGACCCAAGATAAATTTTAGGACCTCAGGAGTAACCTCTTCAAGCTATTAACTAATCTCAAAAAAAATGTCCTACCCGGGCCAAGCCCGACCCAAGGAACCATGGTCCAGTTGGGGCCGGGCTTAATAAAAAATTTTAAATATGGCCAAAACGAAAAAAAACCAAGGCCGGAACTGGGCCTCAGCATCGGGCAAAAATATGTGGACGTGGCCCGGAATTTTCTAGACCGGGCCGCCTGGCCCATTTGCCAACTCTATGAGCATGATATTCAAGTATCACAACGCAAGAAAAGTAGACCTAGCACCACATGTGCATATAGCCATGGTGTATATATGGTACACCGCGAGGACATCCACCTTCTAATGTCATCATCTAGTCACATTTATAATGTCTATGAGCTGTGTAGGATACAGCATGATCCCAACCTCAATGAATTGGATCATATAGAATCACGTAACCTATGACCTATGCACTTACGTTATCAATGCAATTTATTATTTTAAATCATTTCAAAGAAGAGGTATTAAGGTGGTGAAATCAATTAATTTATCAATAAATTTAACTTAATCAAGTACCTTCTTAATTATTTTAACGTTATGTTTTTGGTTTGGAACCATGAACTAGTTAACTGTCAGATAAAACATGCCATTTGGCTTTGGCTTTGGCTTTGCCTTTGGCTTTGACCACTAATGTTGAGAAATACATTCCACATCCACAACGCGGGTATTTTGTGTATTTTGTGGCAAACGTCGATATTTCTGAATTAACCAATTGGTTGATAAATCAGTGGTTTGACCACTTGAGGGAGTTTTTCGTGTAGTTAGAGATGACCTTTCTTAATTAACCAATTTGTTGATAAATTGGTTGTTTTGACCTTAGCTATTTTTTGAGGTAGTTAGATATTTAGTACTGGAAAAGGTTTATATTAGGGGTGTTGCTCTAAATAATTAAATTGAGATGCAACTCAAAATTTTATTAAAAAAATGTCGTTTCAATGCTGAAAAACCCTTAATCCGATCATCTCGACCTCAAAATGTATGGGCATGAGAAAAAATAGATTTCAAATATTGAAAATAGTGCATCTTGTAGTGTATTATCCAGATCATGAATTTGCAAGATTTTCAATTATCCATAGATATGGTCGAAATGCACTATTTTTTAACTTTACATTTTATATTAGATATGAAAATACATTTTCAGGCCATCATAATGATTTTTTAAATTGAAACAATATATTTTAGTACTATTTGAAGGTGCACCCTACTTTGATTATTAGGGCCTTGGCCTTATATAAACCACACCTTTTAATATTTTGTCAATTATTTTAAAATAAATAATTTACTATTTTAGATAAATAAGGACTCAGCATTCCAAAGAGTTAACACTATGGACAAATTACTCTGTTACGTTAAGGATTTGAGAGTGTGTTTGTAAAGCCTCTTATATAAAAAAATTAAAAACCATGTCAAGCTGATCTCAACCGTCCATCAATTTTTTGTAAAGCTCAGGCAACCTTTGTTGTAGTCTCAATTTGCGAATGAATGGTGAAGATCAGCTTTCATATGATTATTATATGTGAAGGCTTCACATGAATATACGTTTATTTCTCTACATTTATTTATTATACTTTGAAAATAAAAGACAAGCACTAAAATGCCACCAGGTATGGATACAGTGAAAATTGTGTCCGAACGGATACTACTATTATATTCCGAGAAAAAGATGCAATATTTGCTCAAAGGAACAATGATGTTGGCATATAATTAAACTATAATAAAAATGACGTGGCCAAGATAAAAAAAAGGAAAACTATACTTTCTAAGAGCTAAAGAAACCAATAAAAATCATTATTATAAGCACATAACAAAGGATATGACAATGTTTCCTCCAAAATTAGCCTCCCCCCTCTCCCTTGAGATCGCAATGATCTTGACCGCTCGATGCAATAATAGATTTTTAGGGTTGTATCATTGTTGTTCTCAAAGTCAACAGATAAATTATATGACTGGTTAGCAGTTGAAGTTAGCAATGCTACATTTCAAATTTCGATTCTGGACTAACCCAATGAAAAAATAAAGATAAACATTATAATATGAAATAAATATGCATTTAACATTTGTTTGTTTCCAAATTAATTAAGTAAAATATTGATTTTTGTACATTCACTCATAAACTACTCCCATGGAAAATATAGGAAATTACTAAATGTTGGTTTCATAAATAAATTTGGATACCTAAATAAATTGCATCATGTCACGCGACTTACTTTTGTTTTTTTCTTTGGGTAATTCTTTCAGAGGGGAAGACAAGCGCCTATCCGTTTTTTCAAACAATTTAGGAGTTAGGTTTTTGAAGGGGTTAGTGGGGTAATGATGTCAGTGGCGGTGTCTGAGACTAATAATATATCTGTGAACCAAAACATTGATAATAATTTGGTATTATTTAAAAAAGTCAAAAGAAAAGTCAGATCATAAATACCAATTGCCAAATAATAAGCTAAGTTATAGAACCATGAAAATTTCAGATTTGGCTTAGAACAACGGAGTGAAAAATCGGATATGTAAAGATGACATAATATAGGGTTATAATGTTACTGTATAGATACATTAAAGCTATTGAACTATACTTTTGTGGTCTTATTTAGTGTCATTAGAGTAATACTTGATAATTTATTGTCTAAACTTTCGATAAATCCAATAACAGCATCCAAGACGCTATGTTGTGTACAGCAATAAAATAAAAAAAAAAAAACATGAGATTAATGAAACTTCCCTATGCATAAAAAAAAGCAACAAAACGCTTAAATAAATTCGAATACCACTCTAAATTCTTTGCGGCCTGAATCTTTAGTACCATTGAATCTCTTATTTGCTCTTTATAAGAATGCTCTAGGTTTAAAGAAAAAAAAATCATTGGGTTACTCTTCTTCTAACTGCATTTATTATTTTGAGATGTACTATTATTTTGACATTATTTTATGGGAAATATATTGTTTGCATTTTTTCATACATTTTTAAGATAACTTGGTAAAATTTTGTGAAATTTTTTATTAAATCAAGATTCTTGATATACTCCACAGTTAATGTGCTTATCTTTAAAATGAAATTCAATAATATTAAGTTAACGAATAAATAAAATTATGGGGAAGAAGTTGTTTTTGAAAAATGATAAAATACAGACTTTTATCCGTTTCATTAAAAAAATATAATTTTTTGAATATCTTTTGAAAAACTCAGACTTCTTGACATATTTTAAAACTCAGAATATCTTTTGAAAAACTCATAGTTGTTATCCTTGTCCCCAGCGTTTTAAAAAATGCCGAGTCGAACCGGACTCGCCCGGTTCGACTCGAAAATAGTGAAAAAGGAACCGGATCGCCCAAAAATCGGAAATCGTCCGGTTCTAGAGAGAACAGGACGATTCTGTACAGTGAATCGCCGATTCACTGTACGGAATCGGCGAGTCCGAACAGTGAATCGGCGATTCCGTACGGTTTTTTTTTTTTTTTTTTTNTTTTTTTTTTTTTTTGTTTTTTAGTACT